AGGAGGGGAATGTACAGGTGAATTGAGGACACAGCAAGAAGAATGGATGTAGAGCATCCCCCTCTATAGCTCTTGAGCCAAGTACTTGGTGAGAAAATATGATCTATATATTTGGAGGGAATATTGAAATCTATGCAATGGAAAGGACACTACTGACTTATGGAATGCCTAGCAGGGGTATATCCTCTTATAATAATGAATTTCACCACATTGTAGATTCACTGGATTAGCCCTCCACACACAAAATCACTAAATCTTGCTATTATTTGTCCTTTGTTTTCTTTATTTGAGAAGAAGAGGGAAAATCACTTTATGGAATATACTTGGAATAATTTGTATTAATAATTCAGTTTTAAAGTGGTACTATGCTAATTCCACAGAAGGTCCATTTACTGTATGAGAATAAAAATAGAATGCAGATATATATGTGACATTTTCATACACATGGGAGTGATGTCCATCCCTTGACCTCTTGTAACTAATGCTATTACAGAAACAACTATATTATGTAATACTTACTGATGTGACCCTATGATTGTTCCCAGTTAGGCCTACTAATTTCTCATTGATAAGACTATGACTGATTTTAATCCGTACTCCAAATTTTAATAACAGTGTCTGGCTCCATGTTGAAGGATTGTTTTTTTTTTTTTTAATATTTAACAATTCCTGTTGGGTTATAATTAAATACTCTTTAACCATTGGAAAGAATTCTGGCAAGAAAACTAGGGAAGCTATGCCCATTACTCCCTTTCCCCCTATAGCCTATGCCAATTCAGAAGGAAGACAATCACTTACTCATATGTGGGTCTGGTCTGGGACCACCCGTACAGGCTATGAACATCATAGTGCCGCACCCGAGAGCCATCTGGAAGGATCTGCTCACTCTCCATGCATAGGGTCTTACTGCTTAGGCCCCGGTCCCTGGACTCCAAATCTGAGGGAAAAGATTTAGGAAGGTGAAAGCAAGCCCTGATTCTTTTAAGACTTTAATCTCTTTAAGGGACTGAACTCTGGAACTAAAGACTAACCTGACCTCAGCATGTTTCCTGGAGGAAGCTGAGATATGGAAAATAACAAGGGCTTTTCAAACACAATCAAATTGGGTTTAAGCTAGACTTTGAATGTAAATTATTTCGTTTCATTTTATCATCATTCTAAGAAAAAGATAGGGTTACCTGTCCTACAGTTTAGAGCACTAAGATTTGGAAAACTGAATCATCTGTGGAAGGACACAAGATTCATGGAAAGAATATTTTCTGGAGCCTGGATATATATGCAAGAACACCTCAATCATCCATCGGTTCCACAACACAGAGCTACTTTACCAACTACTTTACCAATTGTGAAATAACTTCCTGTGGATAAACTAATTAATTTCAAAGAACATTTGGATCTTAAAACACCCCATAGGACTCACGATTGAAGGCCTGCTGTCCAAAGCAGCAGCGTTTTGAGTGGGGTTTTGGGAGATCATAAGGGCTCTAACCATATCAACATGTTAATATATTGATGAATTCAGAGGTGAGCAAGCTATTAGCGGGTAATGAAAAGTGTGGCAGTTGGGTCCGACTTGAGGAAACAGGTTACCAGGGGCATGCCTCTCAATGATAATTATGTTCCAGGTCCCTCCCCTCCCACCCCAAATCCTGGCAACAATGTGGTGAACAGTTTCCTCTATAACCAGGGACTAAAATTCTTTCCTCCTTTAAAAATTTAAAAGATTTAAAAATCTTTCCTCCTTTAAAAATGGTTAGCTTGGGTATGTTCTGACAGACTTGGAAATTGGAATAGATTCGGTGTTCTTTGGATAAATCAAGAATTTGCCCAAGGAATTCAATCACATGCACACACACTGCTGGTAAAGTGCTTCAAATGTTTTAAGTCTCTGGCCTCAATAAATCACAGCAACCCTGAATCTGTTCCCTGAGTGATCAGGGCAAATCTCTGCCTCTTGAGCTCTTGCAATAGTCATCTTTCTTCTAGCCAGTGCAGGTGGAGGAACCCCAGGGTCCTTACGTGGCATGTAGGGAGGACGGTTCAGACTGGCATCACTGCAGCCTGAAGGAACAGCCCCATTGACAAAACTCGATGGTTCATTCATATCCTAGAAAGGTCAGACACAGACATCACTTACTTTTAAAGATAGTTACCTACTGAAAATTTGGAGTCAACAAAATATTGAATAAATCATCCAACATCTAATAATCCTTACAGATTGGTGCCATGGGAGATTCACCAAATCCTGGTGAGATTTGGACAGAACGCTCAATTACCTCTATAGAATTATTGTCTAGAGAGGTTAAAAAAAATCTCTCTTAAAGCAATCAAAATTCCAAGGATTTCCACCTCTAACCCTCCAAGTGAGATAGCAGGACTTTGGTAGGGTACTAAGTAACAGGGGAGTCAGGGCTGCTCCACTCGCCACTGGAAGAAATGCTGTCCTAAACCTTTTAATTATTTCTTGGATGATTATCATCATCTTTACTAAGTATCAGTGCTCCATATAGTCTTAAGCAATGATAGATACACACACACACTTACAATCCACATGCCATCAAACTTCAAGCTCTTCTCTGGATTCTGTGGATTGGAGTATAGTTCTGCAATTTCCCTCTTCCACCACAAGGCAGTTGAATTACGGAAAAAATCTGGGAAGGCCACATAAGCTCGGTATGCCTATAAAAACAAAATATAATTCATTTCATCCAAACAAATACATTAGAAAATAAACAGGCATCTTCTAAGAACTACATGATACTAAGTACCACTTGATGGTAGACAGTGCTAGTCTGAATAGAGCCTACATATTGTCTAGGTTTACTAGAAATATACTGAGGGTATTGGAGAAAATAAGGATGAATTTCACATATTTGAAAATGACCATAAACTGTTTCCTCTTCATACCATCATAAATGGTATCAAATTAACACCCTGACTCACTGTCCCCTGCTTCAAGATGCCCAGCCTCCAATTTCTATCTGGCCATTTCTTAAGCTCTCCTTGAAGATCCTGCAGGAGGCAGGGAGCAACTGTAGCTGGAAAGGGCAGGTATTATAGGTACTCTACTAGAGGGAAGGCAACGTACTGGTGGCATGGTACTGTATCATTTCCACTGGGAACATGGGGAAGGGGAGAGATTACATTTCATGACATTAGACTGGCATGCATGAGTGTTTTCTATGGCTTCAGAACCACATGTGCATTGCAGTCGTGTGTAACATACTATGGGAGAACTTAAGGAGGAAACTTTAATAAATCTCTTCTTCTTCGCTCAAACAGGAAGAGCGATGTCTTCATCTGAGCATGAAAAGTGGATCCAAGGAATCACTTCATAACTAGACTTTAAACTTAGCAGAAGAAATCACCTTGTCTTATATTCTTCTGATTGATTTCTAGATTCTCAACAATACACACCTTAGAACCTACCATAAAAATAAGAAAATAATAATAAATTTTCTGGGCTCAAATACCTCACAGCAGCAAATATCAGTGAATGTCTATGTACTCCATGTTGTTGCTTAGGGCACATCATAGTCTTTGGTATGTCTCAAAACAATCGCTGCCTCTTTGTATATTATAGGAATCAAAGAGATCAATAATGCTGGTGTTGAGGTAGAGTGAATGACACAAAGACTTGATGTAGGGGCACTCCAGCTCTCATACACAATACAACACAGGCAAGTAGAAACTCATGTTTCTAGGTAAAAGACAAAAAAGGAACACCAAAAAAATATGGAAATTGATTGGCATGCACAGATCTGGCTCACCAGGAATTGAAAGGAGTTCCAGCTATGGCCATGTCAGAAACCATGACAGGGGAGGGGTGTGGGTATAAGAGAAAATGGCCAAGATCAGTTGTTCCTGGCTGAGAATTGCATCCTATGTGTGATATAAGGGCAGTTATGCCAAGCAGAGTTCAATAACCTAACTACATGCTGCTGGAATGATCCTTGCCCATACACTAAATATTCTCTGCCATTCTCGAATTTAATCCTTGTATTGCTTCTGTCCTCACTTTCCCTGATCTTCAAACAGAGATGTGCACATATGTAGGAATGGCCCAAGATGGCTTAACACAGTTCACTGCATACTACCCTAACTCAATTCCCAGAATTTCTGAATCACACATGCAAGTTTTGACTCAGAAATCTACTATTCCGTGGGTTTTCGGCCATTTGTTTGCTTGTTTGTTTGCTTTCCTATTTGTATCATTTGCCCTCAGCAATGCCAGACCTGGACATGACTAATCCCAGCATAGCCAGCCTCACCATGCAGGTCTCATATAAATTTTATACTTGTTCAGTCTCCTGACAGAGCTATCTAATGAAGTGTTTCTCATCAAAGGCACAATTGGCACTTGGGGCAAGAAAATTATTTGTAAAGAATACCCTGCTATCAGAGTTATGTGCACCTATAGTCACTGCTCACTAAATGTCACATGGTGCTCCCATAGCACTGTGATAACCCACACTGACACACAGACTTCTGAATCCCCTCGATACCATAGTTAGAATGGCCTAATGGCTGACTAGCTATAGAATTCATAAGGTAATAACCAATCCTATAACTTATGAAAGCACACATCTACCAATGTAAACATCTAGAGACAGGGAATACATGTCTCATAATGTCTCTGCCATGATCAGTTGTTTGTCCACATGAAGTACTTGAATGGCCAAACTTCAAGTGACCCTCTATAAAATTCAACTAGGTTTTCTCCCTTGAATTGTTACTAAAAACATACCCAGATACATGATTAGATGAATGAACAGACAGGTTGATCGATTCATTTATAGATAATAGATATAGAGAGTAGGAAAAAAAATTAAATTGAGTCTGAATCGTTCTTTCTAATCTTCACACTTTACCCAAGTTCAGGTTCTATTTCTTCTACTGCATCTACCTCCACCATGTACAGATGCACAGTCCAATATCCAAGCAGCTTGGGGTCCCAGGTTGGGGTCTATCATTTTGCATCTAGAGGACTTTTGCTACCTACCACCGGGGTCCCGAAGGTCAGATACGAGCACCAGGTAACGCTACACCACTGGATCACAGCATTGTCTGTTATTACTGCTGTGTGAAGGTATCCATTCCTGAGGCCTTGCTCATAAAAAATATGATGGTTCTATCTAAACGTAGATCTTTCTCTCTAGGAACAACCAATTGCTAGTCTTAAAAAGGCATGAATATTTGGCCCTAGTCCTGCCAGTCTCATCCTTGGGAAGCGGAGTCTTTCTCCTATACATCCATCCACTGGCTAGAATCTTATATTGCCTGGAAAAAGATCCCAAAAGGGTCTTTGTCCAGAAATGCTAAGTGGCTAACACCATAATTCACAGTTGCTGTGCTCTGTTCCCAGAGTGCTGATATTTCTGCAATTTAATCCATGATCTTGATAGAGTTTTGAGACACTAAAACTCATACTTCTTTGCTAACCACACAGAATCTTGCTTCATTTTTCCTTCAACCCTTGAAGATGCCCTGGGGAAGCAGGCCTTTTCTTTGACTTCCCAACTCCTCTGTGGAGGTTCATAGACTTCACATTCCCTACTACAGTGCCTGGCCAGAAAGAATAATTATTGTGGAATAAGGGATAAATACGGTAAGGATGTCCAGAAGAGTAACTCTCCACATGAGTTCCCACCCTACCCTGAGGGCCCTGTTCCAGGTAGCACACAATTGATGATAAACCGGCTGAGGGAGGTGGTACACAGCTTGACCTCACAATCAGGCTGAAGGCTCCCTGGACAAGTATGAAACCGTGTAGGTGTTCAAGCAACAAATGCTTCTGAAGCTGAAAGGAAACTAGGTCGGAATCATGGGACACCTTGATCCATTACAAGCAAGAAGCTACTACAAAGATGGGACAAACTTTCCATTAAATGCTAGAAACCAAGAGGTAAATGTCAGAGGAGAGATCCTAGGCAAGATGGAGGTGGGGGTCAAGATTATAAGTGTGAAGAGGAAGAAGACCATCCATGAAAAAAAAAAAAAAAAAAAAGATGTGCAGAGGGAAAATCCCAGTCACTAAGACAAAAGTTGGAGATTCTATTTACAAGGGATACCCAAGGCAATGACAATCGCAAGAGGTATACTAATTCTAAAAACAGAGAGCTCATCTTCAGGTTTCATGGAATGGAGAGTCCATGGCCCTTTGAAATATGACATGCCTGGACTGGAAATGAACATTGTGTGACCAAAGCCATGTAATGTAATAATTTTAACTCTTTGAGTAAGAAATCCCACAGATAGCAATACCTACTCTCCCCAACCTGGAAGAATACCGTATGTAAAGGCATCAGCATACACTGACACCCAGGATGTATTTCCTAAGTAGGGCATGTACAGTATAGTGGGTATAGCTGCCCAACTAACACAAAGAGCCTTTTACCTCCACTTGACTGTCCCAGTCTAGAGAGCTGTTAACAACAAT